CAAAATCTTTGTAAACTCATTGACTCTTACACAAAGTTTTATCAATATTCAATCTAAGAAGTGATTTCCAGAATTCCTCTTGCTTATTCACCTTAAAAATCAAACAGTTATTTTTGAAGTAAAAGGGGTTTGCTCAAGCTTAGCAGTGGAATTGCAATTTGGGACAAGCAAGCTCTAGCAAAAGCCATAAGCAAGTCCAAGAAACAAATAATTGGAACCTTTTTTTATAAAGAAAAAAGAGGAATTTGGGACAGATTGTTTTCAAAAAAAGTCCATTGGAGAAAAATAAGATGATGACAGGTTCTCATTGGCTGAGGTGTCTGGGTGGACAGTTCTTGTAGACCTTCTCCTTTGGGGAAGTGGCCTTGATGCCTTTCCTGTTGATGATTCTTCCCTGGGGGTCTGTCATTGACAAGTCTTTCTGAAACTGACAAGCGGTACCGCATGAGAGCGCCCCCTTCTGGCCTCCACTTGAGTGGAATTTCCATGTATTAATTTTCACATAACACAGCAGTAAAAGGTCATTTTAGTCCCCCATCTCTTCTCCCAGTCCACTATAGAAAAAAGAGAAATTATAGATAGGAATTGTGTTAAACAAATTCATGTTTTTTTTCCTAAGAAAAGATTGTATATACCTTATGTTTGTTGGCAACTGACAGCTCACAGTATGCACTGACACAGCATAACACATTGTCTAACTTACTTGCTGTTGAAAGGTAAATTAATGCAGGAAATGTTTTTTTTTTAATTTCTGAGAACCTACATGTTACCAGTTGTGCAGTAGTGAATCAGAAAGAATTCTTATTTTCCATATGATATTGATAAAAATTGAGGCTTAAAGTGTCAAGTTCCTTTGTCAAGGTCTCAACAGACAGTGACTTCAACTCTTGGATTTGAACCCTGGCAATCAGACTGCAGACCCGCTCTCCATCAGTGTTGTCCCTCTTAGCTGTTACAGCCGGGCCTCCCAGGCCTGCTCATGGTCCTCATGGCATGTGATGTCCCACTTGCTTGCACCCAGGGAGGGAACCGCCACTGCCTCAGGACACAGCCAATCCTCCGCCTTCATTCAGAAGTGACCCACCCTGCCTTCGGCATTCTGAATACTCAATTTTAAAACAGTACTTATTCAGGGTTTACTAGGTACCAGCATGATTTTTAGGAGCAGTATGAACATTCTGAGGCATTTATTCCCCTAATGACCCTAATGAAACATATATACATTAAGTGCTGCCATTTTACAGAAGGAAAACATGAGGCCCAGAGATATGGATCTTTCTGGTGATCACACAGCTACTGGAGTACAAGGAGGTGTGACTGTTGCTTTGTATTGTCTGTAAGAAACTAAAGGGACAGTCAGAGCTCTCTGACTGCTTGCTCTGGGTATCATGAAACACCCGATCATCGTGCTGGAATCATTTAAGTAGAATCTGGTCCAGATGTAGGACTCTGACAGATCTAGGCAGATGTCCCTGTTGCTTGCCTCTCTCCCCTATCAGCCTTAATAATCAAACATGTGCTGTCATTTCAGTTAGTACGTTAATGATTGCATGCACGACTTTGTGTAGGTAGCACAAAGCTCTGTCCTGTTGTGTTTGAGGGAGAGCCGGGTTCTTTGCCTCTTCTTTCTCTCATAGTCACACCTCCCCCAGCCCATTCCTGCTCCCAGCGATCCACTACGTCTGTCCTCACCAAGGTCCCTGATCATATTCCTTTTCCCTTTATGGCTCAGGCCTTCGCTGACTACCCTCTATGTAAACTCTACCTCCCACACCTTCTGTTCCATGCCTTACTTGTTTTTTTAAGAGTATTTACCATCATTTAATAGACACTTAGTGTTTTGCTCCTCCACTTTCTATAGTATCTGCCTTCTCTGTTAGGTGGAGCTCCAGGAGGCAGGGATTTGCATCCATTTTGTTCAGTTTGATACTAAGCACCTAGAACAGTGTCCAGCACACGGTAGTTTCTCCATAAATATATATCCAGTTACTGAGTGACCAAATCATTCTGGAACTCCTGAAATCTCTGGTCACTCCTCAGCTCCTTCAAGCAACTTTCTGCCTCTAATTACCCAAAAAGTGATAGTGTTCTCAAGTCTCCATCAGGAGAAGGGTACAGCTTTAGTGGTAGAGTGCAAGCTTATCATGCCCAGGTCCTAGGTACAATCCCCAGTACCTCCTACAACAATTAAATAAGTCAACCTGATTACCTATACCCATCAGATAATATTATAAGGAAACCTCATAGACCTGTCAGGTCTCCATCATCAGTGGCTTGTTTTCTCATTCTATTCACTCTGTGCATCATGTTGGAAGGTTGTTCTAGGGTTCATCTGAGTATAACTAAGAGAATGCACATAAGGAATATGTATCCAGCCTTGACACAGTAGACTAACAGTTATTATTGTAAACATACAAAACATAGAAAATTGATGTAAGTTCCACAAGCAAAAAGCTCATGTGCATGTGACTTGTGTGACCATGAGAGGTGAGCTGTGTTCTACTGAGTTGTTGCTCTGAGTTACAGCTTCCCATGGCATCTGGACCCAGCATGAAGAACCCCGTCTGTCTGGTGGAAAGACAGAACAGCCAGATGACAGTAAATCCAAATGCACTGAAGATTCTCAACCAGATATCTCAGCCTGCGGTGGTGGTGGCCATTGTAGGGCCGTATCGGACGGGAAAGTCCTACTTGATGAACCGCCTGGCAGGGCAGAACCATGGTGAGTGCTGTTCAGGGCTGCTCATGGCTGTGTGCTTGGAAGCAGGGATAATGCAGGTGCTGAGCGTCCTCCTCCAGGGTCCAGCTCAGGAAGAGCCTAACCCCTCCTACTGAAGGGAACTTCAAACTCTCACCACCGAATTTGTAACTTCATCCCCTTCTCTTCATGAAATTTACTCTTTTGTCCATTAACCAAGAATTCCCACACCTATAAAACCACCCACCACCTTAGTTCTGATCCCATCCACTGCCATCTGTTCAGGGGCTCATCTGCAATCATTATTCTCTTCTTTGCTCCTTCATCACTTTTGTCCTAAACCACAGGGGCATTTCAGGCAGCACACGAACACTGTTCAATATGTCCTTTTTTTTAAAGGAATGGAAGGAAGAACGGACAGCAAAATCCCTGCATCCCAAATCTCAGTAGGGCTACTACCCCTTTTTATGGCTTTATTTCACAGGAAAACTTTCATAAACTATACTTTCTCTTTCTCTATATAGTATTTTCTAATATATGAATTAGAACACATACAGAAGAGGGCATAAATATGTGTATATTATATACATAAAATAAAGTCGATAAAGCAAAGAGATTATCTATTGAGTCACTGCTCAATTCAAGAAATAAAACATCATCAACCCACAGAAGCCCATGTCATGTGCCTCACATCCTCACTACAGCTAAGCGATATTTTGATTTTTGTGCTGTATTCTTTCAGGCTTCCTCTGTAAACATGAGATTACAATCTATGTATATGTTTCTGAAATGTAGCTTGGAATTGGTATAGGAAGTTGCATGCTGGTATTAATTAGGATCTTGCTTCATACTCTCGCTAAGATGTTTACAAAGTCAATCTAGTTCATCAACGTGTCTATAATCATTTTCACTGATTGTAGAGCACGCAGTTGTCAGAGGGCACCACAGTGTATTCACCCACTGGTGCTGATGGACATTTGTATCATGTGCAGCTCTGCTGTTCATGAATGGTGCTGTCATGACAGTTCTTGTCTCTGTATCCTGGTGCCCATGTGCACAGCTTCCTTGTGTGATGTGCCCAGATGTGGACTTGCTGAGTCAAGGAGTCTTTCTGTCTTCAGCCTTTCTAGATGGTATTGAACAAACTTTTAAGCTTCCTATTCAATGTGTATACTTATTAGAAGTAATTTAGAATCCTTCACATCCTCATGAAATTGGTAAAAACACTTTTAAGTTTTGCTGATGTGGTGTGTGTGTAGTCGCATGCTACTTGCCTCAATACAATTAAAGTTGAGCACCTATTCACACATTTATTAGTGATTTACATTTCCTATTTCAAGAAGTTGGGGTTTTTTTCCTACCAAGTTGCCTACTTGTTTCTTATTGATCTGTAGGACCATCTGCCTACATCCTGTTGAGCATTTCTGTCTGAAAAAATCATTCACCATTTCTTTCCTAATGTCCTCTTCTGTGGCTCAGTGGCTCACAGAATTAGGGGATATGATGTCAGTCCACTAAACTCAAAGGATCTCGGGAATGTCTCATTGTCTCTCTCAGACTCTGTGTCTATTTCTTTCTCTCTCTCTAGGTTTGTCCATTCTTCTCTCCTTCTTGCTTTTTCAATCTCTCATTGGTTTCAAACAAAACTCACAATCCTTGTCTTTCTCTTAGAGGAACTCTTGACCACAAATCAAGGAGTTTTCTTCCCAGGCTGAACATAATTGTCTTCTTTTTTTTTCTTTTGAGGGATTCAAGATTTGAGAACTCTAAGAAAAATATACCAGTCAAGGAGTTTCAACAATGTTCTTTTTTATTCAATTCAAGATAATATCAGGCAATAAGGGAGTGATTTCCCTTATGAAGGATATCCCTACACCAGTTATGTTTTAAAACACCTTAACTGTGGCCCACCACACCAGTCATATCACAGGAAGAGCAACACACATACAAAACACACACACACACATTTGTGCCCAATCAAAGAGGGTGAGCAGAAGCAGGTCACCACTCTCTCCTTGTGATGACTTCTGTCTGGTCCTTACCTGTCTTACTGACAGTGATGAGTGCAAGGTACACCTTCTCTTTTCTCCTGGGTATGGTCAGGTTGCTCTGCATTGTTCAGGAAGCAGTCAAGTATGATTATGATGTAGAATAGTATGTATTATCTCAGGTGTTATAGCCCCTCCATGCAGAGCACATCTCGTGTGGAAATTGAAGGGCCTGAGCCATGCAGAACCGTGCACCCCTCAGTGTGTCATCACATCCATTTCTGATCTCAGGTGCAGGTGGCGTTATTATATGACAGATGCTATAAATCTTGGACAAGATATATTGCCTGCAGTGTCTAAGGCATACACTTTGCATCTCTCCCTGTGGGTTTAAGGCTTCACAAAGTAGATGAAAAGTTCTGACAGGTATTTTCTGTTTCCCTTCTATTATATCCTGAGTCAATGAGCAAATAACTCATCGCTTTTGAGGAGGAGACAGAAAGGAGGAAAATCCAGAAATAAAGGGGAAGAAAAAGAATCTAGCAAAGCTGACATATCAGTCCAGGTGCTGGAAGGGCACCGATGATCCACTTAAAGGGTAACTGAGGATGCTCAGTGGTGGGACAGCTACATGAGCAACAGCAAGGGAGAGTGAACTAGTGAAGAAGGTGGTGGCACCCAGGGAGTGGCAAGAGCAACAGCCAGGCAGCCATTGTAAATCCTACAGCCTGAGGGGACAGGCAGTGAGTGGATAATAGAATGTGCCAAAGACCAGAGCTACTGGGTGGAGCTAAATGAAAGGATATGTGACCAAGAGAGAGGAGCAGAGAACTTGGGACACTGTGGGTCACCTGGGTGGAAGAAAAGCCAGGCACCTGCAGCTTCTTCTCACTGGTTCATCTCCATCAGAAAGTGGAGGAAGGCAGCTCTTTGGTGTCAGATAAAAATAGAAGGGTTAATAGAGTTTACATTAATCTCAGAATGTGACAATTTGAGCCGTTAATGGTAGGAGGTGAACAAGTGACAGGAAGTGTTTCTTGAGGTGGTTCTGAAGAGGTACAGAAGTTGGATTTGCTGTTCTTGCTTAAATGGAGGAACCTCCCTTTCAGACAGGCTCTCATGTGCAGACAAGATTAGCCAAGGTAAGCCGAGCTCATCCTGGACCGTCTGCTGTCACTGCACGCTGCTTTCTTCTCTTCCTTTGCAGGTTTCTCTCTGGGCTCCACGGTGAGGTCTGAAACAAAGGGCATCTGGATGTGGTGTGTGCCCCACCCCTCCAAGGAGAGCCATACCCTCGTCCTTCTGGACACCGAGGGCCTGGGTGATGTGGAAAAGGTAAAGAAGAAAATCTTTGCTCTTGATAGTCCACTTTTATTTTAACTTATTTTAGTTTTAAGTTTTGGAGGGAGGCGATTGGATTTTTTTCCTTTGAATAGAGATACTAGGGATCTCGACCCCAGGCCCCCCTGCATACTAAGCACATACTCTACCACTGAGCTCTACCCTGCCCTTCCACTTACATTTTAATTTCCCATCTCAATTTAAATTTGATGACATATTCCTATATATTACAAACCCAATGTTGAATAATGAGGCTAAATTCTCGTCCCTTGAATCTATTCTTTAATAAATTAAATACTTTGAGTATTATTGAGAGATCTTACTCTTTACACTGGGGTGAAAGATACAAGTTAGCAAAGACTTACTGGGCATCAGAATTTCAGGGCTTGTGTTCACTGCCACAGACAACACCATGAGTGAGGTCTGGGCCCAGGGCCTCATTGGGGAGATAAGAAATATACAGTTATCCGTACAGGGAACCATATGTACGGAAAGTGAGAACCTACCCCTGCTGCTCAGGTTTGGGTACACAGCCTGGTGGAAGGTGTAACCCATGCGACCAAGGAATTCTAAAAGTTAAGATGTATGCGGTTAATGGATTTAGAGGCAGAAATCTGTAAAATAGGGTTTCAGTGAAATACACTATTTTAATTATCTCCAGAAAAGGTTCAGCCACATCAAGGTCATTCATGAAAATTTTAGTCCAAGCATTTGGGCTGTGAGGAGAGATTCATCAATGACGTGTATAAACAGTACGCTCGGCCCCCCAAAAGCACTTGACATGGGGTAATTGTAGAAGATCTGGTTTTATAATCCTGCTTGCAGTCATCTTTTCCCCTTTATATTAGTCTGAGTCTATTTCAAATTTAGTGGCCGTGAACCTTTAGCTTTCATTACTGCAGAAAAGAGCTGTGATGTAAATTCAGACATTCTGAATTTAAACATTCAGGTTTAAATATACAAGACTCACCTCGGTGTCAACCAAAGATGATCTACGGCTCCTAATAGTCCGTAGTTTGCATAACCCTCTTCTTCTTACCTCATTGCATTTGTCAAGGAACCAGAACATAGCAAATTGTAAACTGATAACAGACGAACACCTGCTGCCCTCACTACATGTCATGATAGGATCTGACTCCCTTTCAAGGCCGCTCAGGACATGCTCTCATCTCATTTTCAGCCTCACCATCTCCTAGCACTGCCATGAGCACCACTTCAGTCAAATAAATTAGCCCTGTGATTCCTCTGTGGGACCGCAGTTGCTGGCAGTACTGATTCACTTCTCCTGGTCCTTCCATCTGCACCGGCCCTTTCCACAACCCATGTCCTGTCAGTTCTTTAAAGCCCAGTTATTTTCATCTGAATGCCATCACATCTCTGACAGACATAAGGACTTCTGGCTCTGAATTCAGACTACTTTTCTTTGGTCTTTATTTTATTTTCCTTTTTTCATTCCATCTTTGTCCTTCACATGAGAACATGTGGATCCACTCCAGGCAGTTTATCATCTTGAATACGTTATATGTTCGCACATGTTATTGGCCCCTCTAGAAAGCCATGTCACTGGTGCTAGGGACTGTCCTGTGGAGCTTTAGAGCCACACAAGCAAATGCAGTATCTGGTGTTTTCTAGACACACAATGAATGGCTGATGAGTTTAGGTAAGTGGCATTTGTGTCCTTAATACAGCTTATAATCAAGAGAAGTTTGCAAAAGCATCATTCACACCTTATTGCTTAGCTTCTATGTGCCAGGCAGTGTATTAAACACGTGACACAAATTCACAATGTCATTCTGTTCTGCCAAAAGCTAATGCGACTAAGGCCCTGAGAGCGCAACACGTCATCACGGGAAAGGTTTGGATTTAACATTGTTTTGAAGTTTATGTCATTTGCCGTCCTGTTGAGTTATGGGACAGCTGACATAGAAAATGAGCAACCGAATGAGAGAATGAGGTGTAGACTCCCCACTGCTTTCTAGGGTGACTCAAAGAGTGACTCGTGGACCTTCACCCTGGCCGTGCTTCTGAGCAGCTGCCTTGTCTACAACAGCATGAGCACCATCAACCACCAGGCCCTGGAGCAGCTGCAGTATCCTTCCCAGACCGGAGGCCCCAGGTCCAGTTCACTGAGTCGGTGGGAATGGCCG